ATCCGTGCCAGGTGCAGGGTCTGCTGGCTGGGTGCTGGCAGGCTTGCACCTGGCACGGGCACCGTAGCCAGCCCGCGCCCCTTTAAGGGGTCCGGGGCCAGGAGGGGGGCAGACGAGTTTCCCTGGTGTTGGCCAGAGTGGCCACCAGGGAAACCTGGGGAGGGCTAGCCTCCCACTAGTTCGAATTAAGGGTCTACACAGCCCTTAATTCGAACTAGTAAGTTCGAACTAGGCTTAATCCTTGTGAAATGAGGATTACCTAGTTCGAACTAAGCGCTCCGTTAGTTCGAATTAAATTCGAACTAACGGAGCGCTAGTGTAGCGCCTATGAAAGTTAGTTCGAACTAACGGACGTTAGTTCGAACTAACTTTGTAGTGTAGACATACCCTAATTTATTTATAACTTTAAAGTTTTGTGCTAGCGAAGACAATGGAGGGTTTTTTTTCTTTCCCTTAGTACTAGTGTTTTTAAAAGATTTTTGTTACTGTTAATAGGCAAAATGGGAAACTCTAATTTAATAATCCCATTGCAGAGGGACTTTGTCTTAGGATATTGGTGACCTCACTGTAATGTAAGAATGGTCTGACAGAATCGTCCCCTACTCGGCCAGCTGTTCAAATTAAGTCCAGTTTAACAGTGAATGAAAATAGTTACCACGTGATAGCTGCTTGCACTTTGTGAAGTGAGTTTATTGTCTCAGTCCAAGTTTCTGTCATAGAAGTTGTCATACTGCTTGCCCATTGCCTTCTATATTCGAAAGATCAGGAGACTGTTTCCCACTCCAGGGTTGTCAATCTGGCTGCCTTGATCTGCATTAAATTCACTTTAGAAAGCAATCACTTTGCCCTTCTGACAGCTTGGAAACCGCAGGTCGATAAGACTTGGCAGGACTTTGGGGGATGGAGCTTTTCATTGACTCTAACTAAACTCTAGTTCACATCCCTCTGCCAAGACAGGGAAGTATGTGTTTCTAGGCCTGACCGTCTAGCCTGCAGAATAAACTGCCCTGTAATCTCTTCTGTTTGGGCCATTAACTAGATGAGTCTCCAGAGCAAGGAATGGTATGTGTGTCACTGCATCACAGTATTTCAGCCTAGTTAATGTTTTAACCTGGATTTGTTTTATTTCAGAGAGGAAGCTGGTGAACCTGACTCTTGGAGCACTTTGTCCCATACCGTGCATTCGGGGGACTACTGTGTGAAACACCACCGTGGCCTGAATGTTTATACGCTAACGACTGAAGCCAAGGAAGAAGCAAAGGCCAGCATGGAGCATGACATAGAGCAGCTCCAGAAATACATAGCAAGCCACCAGCACGGGGTGAGAAAGGGACAGGGCAATACAGTGATTGTAAATGTGTAAATGTACCTGGGATGCCCACTGCTGTTATTGCGAGCATCCAGGTGTCTTATAAGGAACTTTGCACCTAGAGCAATGCTCGCATAGGGATTTACAAATGACACCAGACCATCACATCTCAAAGAATCACAGAGTAAGAAACTGTTTAACTTAGATATAACTAATTCATTCCCAATGGGATGTCTATTTTGCTCTGATTTGGGAGTGGGATGTCTACTAAAAATCTCTGGCAGGTGGAGCTGGTCAGGTTTCCCTAAGGAGAAGCAAATCTTGTCCTGCACCTCCTTCCTCATGTGCCCTGCCTCTCTCTGCTTCCAGATCCTGACCCAACCCTGTAAGGAGGCGAGTTACATCTTGAGGACAGAAGAAATTACTTGGAGCACAGAGTAGCTTCCTGCAGGGTGGTTGGGTCCGTGAGCAGGCAGTGTGAGGAGGGTTCTGGTGCTGGCTGCGTTTATCTGAGAACTATGGAGGTGGGAATGTTTTTGTATGGAAGACGACAAGTATAGATCTGTCAGGAAGTAGCACTCTGGTTGAGAGGAAGAGCCAGTGGAGAAGTAGTGAGATCATTGTACATAGTTAGATCACTGTACACTCTTCTGTAATACCTCAGTGCAGGATTCTGACTATGAATCCACTCCAGTTAAATGCTGTAGGAGTTCACAGTGGAGATTTCAGAAGCACTTGGCATTGGCCTGATTTAGCTCTTGTTGGAGCTATTGGGATCATGACCAGGGGAGCTACATTAGCTCAAGGCTGAAGGGTGTGGAAAATTCCAATCTCGGTGCTTGAAAGAGGCTACCAGAGAGGATAATAAGCAAAACTGTGGTCAGAAATTGATAGTTCCTGAAGAACTTTGCAGTTTCCCTTGTGTGCCCACCATTCCTTTCAGATGTCTGTACATTTGGGTTTAATTCTACCATCTCAGGCCTAGTCTACATGAGGAATGTACTTTGATATAGTTACATCTCTTAGGAGTATGAGATATCAATCTCCTGAGAGAGGTAGCTCTACTAGCCTATCCCCTGATATGGATCAGCACTAGGTTGATGGAAGAATTCGTCCATCGACCTAGCTACTTGTCTGGGTAGTGGTTTACCTACACTACACCAATGAGAGAAGCCCTCATCTTGGCATAGGTAGAGTCTACACTGAAGAGTTGCACCTCTTAGAGTTGTGATATTTCAATGCTAGAAGAGTTACCTGGCATTGCTCGGCCCTTCAGGACGGTGGACTAGTGGTTTGATGGACGCAAGAGTCAGGGCAGGGGCTTGGGATGTGGGGGACTCAGGGCAGGAGGCTAGGCGTGTGGGGGTGCAGGACTCAGGGTTTGGGGGGTAAGGATGGCCTAAGGGTAGGCAGTGGGAGGTGCAGGAGTCAAAGCAGGAGATGAGGTGCAGGAGTCAGAGTAGGGGTTTGGGAGGAGAGGGGCTCATGTGGAGTAGGTGGCTGCCAGATGGGGTGCAGGAATCAGAGTAGGGGGTTGGGAGGAGAGGGGCTCATGTGGAGTAGGTGGCTGCCAGCTTCTCCTCAGGGCAATGGAGGTCATGCACCCTGCCCATCAGCTTCTCCCTGGAGTAGAGAGGGAGGCTGCGCACCCCACCCTCCACCTTCTCGCTGGGGCTGGCCCAGGACAGAGAGGAGCTGCACACCCACCCACCGGCTTCTCTCTGGGGCTGGCCTGGGGGCAGCAGAGGCCTCAAGGCAGCTGGCAGCTGCTGCTTTGAGGTAGGTTGGGGTGGTGGGGGCCATGCTGCTGGCTAGCAGCTGCTCATTGCAGTGCTTGCTACCCCCTGTGGTCATTCATGTGTATAACTGTCCCCCCCCATGCTTCCTGCCGCCTGTTATCATGCACGAGTATAAATGCCTCTGCTATCACTTCCTGTTGGATACAAAACAGTCACAATCCACCCACATCCTATTATCCTGGCGCAAGCAAGCCCTGACCTTGCTTTAAGTTATGATAAGAGGAAGCTGTATACCAAATTTGGTGGTCCTAACTCTTACAATTTAGGAGTTCTTGAACAAACAGACATGCAGACAGATGCAGATTTCTAAAATATATAGTAAGAAGACTACTACTCCTTTTCTTTTAGAGATAAAAAGGAGGCAGGAGGAAAATTTTTTTTAAATTTTTACTAGTTGAAGTTTTAGCGCACAGACCATTCTGAACAAAAGTCCTCACCGTAGTCTGCATGCTGAATGGTAATAACTCTGGGTTTCAACAGTTACAGTTGATATAAGTGGCCAACTAAAGTGAGCATTGAAATCACCTCATTTTGCCTCCACTTACCACCAGATGACAGTAAAATATGTTTAATGTACCAAGCACATTTCTTTTTGATAGTGCAGATGCCTGACGGGTACATTTTGTCTGACAATGAAATCAGAAAAGCTATGTTTAGATTTTTTTTCCAGCCCTGTTTCACTTCAGATCTAATCTGATTTGAATTTGGAAAGCAGCCCTGCAATTACTTCATTTAGGCTCATTTAGGGTCAGCTGAAAGCTAGTTGGCTTCCTCTGGAGAAGGCTCTATTTTTCAGTTTATCAGCACAGTGACTTCATTGCGAGATTGAGAGGGCTCCCACTATCCCCTGACTTTGAAAACCTTGCTTGTTTCACAACAAGTGTCACTTTTGTTTGTGTGTATCTGTACTGGCTAGAAACCAGCAGAGCATTCCCTGTGCCACCAGACAGCTAATACTCCATTTTAAATTGTTCCGACATGCACCCACACAAATCGATCTATCATACGTTCTTGCTTTATGTAGAATAGTAGTTCCAGTCACTCTAGGCTACTGTATCAGACTAAGATGCCAGCTCTTCCAAACAATGCTCACTGTCTTCCAGTCATTTTTGCGCCTCCTAACCTGCCATGGAGTCTGGACAGCATTAGAACTGCAGTCTATCGGTAGTGGCAAGGGAGCACCTCTTTAATTAAGGACAGAGGGGCTGTCAGTTTTGCTGGACCCCTGGGCAAGGTCAGGTGGTCCCAACTCTGTGCTCCAGGAAGGGGTGGGGCTTGAGGCAGACCAGGCAGGACCGGGAACAGCAAACCTCAGTGCTGCTCGCACCACCCCGCCCCACCCCAACTAGCCCTCAGCACCATTCAGAGTGCAATTGCAGTGGCAGCAGCTGGGAACCCTGGGTCTCTTTGAGCTTCTGGGGTCTGGGGCAGTTTTGCCCCTCCTCTTCTGCTCCCCCCTGTCCCCGGTGTCGGCGAGCCTGGTTAAGGTTGTATCATGATGTCTATTTTCAGGTTATTTCTAAGTCCTCCAGTTTGATGTGCCTCAGGAGGGTGCATTGAGGGATTAGAGACTCAAATGTAGAGTCATGAGCATGGGGTTCTGGAGATGCAAGCCCCCCCCCCCCAAAAAAAATTACAAAGTTTCTAGGTGGGTGTGGGGTTTTTTTGTTTTTGTTTGGTTTTTTTTTTCCCCCAGAACTAAAAATCAGTCTGTTGCTATGATGCAAGTCAAAATGGCCTCCATTTGTTGAGTTTTATCTAGAGTAGTGTATGGCATCTACTAAATTTTTGGGTGATCCAAATTGAGAATGGTATTTAAGGAAATTTACATATTTATACTGTTCCTTCACAGATAGAGAAAAATGGCTAGATGGCTTCCAGTCATTTTATATGCTTTAAAGCAGGGCTGAGGAACCTGTTTTGGGTTGAGGGCCACTGGCCCACAGAAAAATCAATCGGGGGCCACATGCAAGGGAGAAAAAAAACCCAAAACATACAATCCTTCACTCATGTGGCCCCCCATTGAGAAGAAGAAAGACACTCCCCACATTCCCTTTGTACACCACAGCTTATGTGGGCTCAGCCTAGTAGATTTTGTGTGCTCCAGCCCCACAATGGGATAGTGGGGGCACCAGAGCACCAGTGCTGGCTTCCCAGTGCTGGCAGGAGGGGGCTGAGCCTCGGGGGCCAGATCCAGTCAAGCTGGGGGCCATATCCGAGTACTTGACCTTAATTTCCCCACCCATGCTTTAAAGCTTAACTCTTGTGCATGCTCTAAAACTCAACTATTTAATTGGATAGCTTTGAAATTTGGTGTGCCTCTTGGAGTCACAGGGTAGCATTAGTTGTCCAGACTTTGACCTCGGGAGTTACTGCGTTATAGCCCCTGAGTTACAGCCCCTTTTGTCAAAAAATCAGTTTCCTTTTGCTGCCTTGTACGATTAAGCTGAGAGGTACTAATGACTAAGGCTGACTATGTTATGGAATCCAGGGCTTCCAGAGGTTTCTGGGACATTTTCTGCTTCAGCCTTAGAGACACAGGGCTGGAGTTGTCAGCCAGTGAGGGCATTAGAGCTCACAGATGTAGCAGGAGCAGGCAGCTTTGGAACTCCCAGCAGCAGGGTCTGCTGGAGTTCAGTAGGTGGTGGGTGGCCCCTGCTGCCACCAGGGTGGCTGGGGTGGGGTGAGGGCTGAGTTCTGTGCTGAGGTTATGACCCCCGTAAATTCCCTGCTGCCCTTCCTGGAACTTTGAGGTTCCCCAGGCAGTGAGCGGAACCAGAAGAGAGTACTGGGCCCTTCTCTTCTCCCCCATTTAATCAGGGCTGTTTTTAATAAGTCTTGCGCAGGACACAGGCTTCCATGATTTTTTTGGTAGAAATGTAGCCGTGTTAGTCTGGTGCAGCTGAAACAAAAAACAGGACTGTGTAGCACTTTAAAGCAGTGGTCCCCAACACGGCGCCTGCGGGGGCATTTGTGTGCGCCCGCCAAGTGCTCGGGGCTGGCCTGGCCCCAGGTACGTGGCTCATGCATGGTGCCGGAGCCGGCTCGGGTGCATGGCACACGGTGAGCACTGGCCCCGGGAACAACGCGAATTAACCGCCCGTGCTTTGGGCGCGCGGCGCTTGGGGGGGCGGCCCAGGGTGCGAATTAGCCGCCCGCGCTCTCGGCGCTTGGGGGTGAGGGGGACGCTGGCCCCGGGCGCGCAGCACTTGGGGGAGCGCCCCCGGGCATGCAAGTGTCCCCGCCCCCGGGCGAACGGCCCCGCCCCCTGGCGCCCAGCAACCTCCAATGGTTGGAGACCACTGCTTTAAAGACTAACAAGATGGTTTAATAGGTGATGAGCTTTCGTGGGCCAGACCCATTGTTAGTCTTTAAAGTGCTACACAGTCCTGTTTTTTGTTTCATGATTTTTTTGCTTATTGCCCATGACCTTCTCATGACTTTTACTATGGTAAAATCTTAGTCTTGCTAATGGCTGATCAGTCAGAGACGTCTTGATGGCTGTGAACTCATCCTGTCATTAACGTAACCAAATGAGATGTTAATTGCAAACCAGTTGTTATAATTGGTGGGCCGTGATTGGCAATTTGAGTTTGTGGGTGTGATGGGGCATTCCGTATTCTTTACGGGAATATGCCTATGAATTAGCCATACACTGGAGTATGCTTTATGCAAGACACTTCATGTGAGATGTCATTCAAAAGGTTGTAATTTACCAAATATGATTATCCTGTTGGTATGCCTGTATCACTTCTGTATCTGAAGTTAAGAATATTGACTGTGGATTTATTATTTATATGTTCATGTTGGGAGCATTAACGACCCATTGGGTGCAACAGTGAAGAAGCCAGAAACTGAGCTAAAGGCCTGTGGCTCAGCTCATGAAGTAGGGAGACAGAGGCTTTACAGAGACATGTGACCCTATCATTTGATACTGGAATCCATCTTAAACTTAAACTCCATGAGAAGCTGGGAGGGAATCAAACTGAAACAAAGGTCTCCCACCGTGGGGTAGAGAGTGAGATAATTTTGGCAATCTGTTCTCCCTGGCTTCTCCACCGAAGATGACAGCTAGAAACATCTTAAGACTGAACTGGGGAAAGGTAGAGCTCTGCAAATCTGTGGTTATCCACTTTATATCCATGGGTATCTGCACTCAAGGATATGGAAATAAACTAGGGAAATACAGTCTAGATGGGGCAACTATAAAGTGAATGCATAACTGGCTGGATAACCATTCTCAGGGAGTAGCTATTAATGGTTCACAGTCATGCTGGAAGGGCATAACAAGTGGGGTCTCTTTTGGGACTGGTTCTGTTCAATATCTTCATCAACTATTTAGATATTGGCATGGAGAGGACACTTGCTAAGTTTGCAGATGATACCAAGCTGGGAGGGGTTGCAAGTGCTTTGAAAGATAGGGTCATAATTCAAAATGGTCTGGACAAACTAAAGAAATGGTATGAAGTAAATAGGATAAAGTTTAATTAGGACTCCACCTAGGAAAGTACTCCACTTAGGAAACAGAATGGGAAGCGACTGCCTAGGAAGGAATACTGTAGAAAGGGATCTAGGGATCATAGTAGGTCGCAAGCTAAATAAAGAGTCAACAGTGTGACACGGTTGCAAAAAAAGCAAACATGATTTTGGGATGCATTAACAGGAGTATTATGAGCAAGACAAGAGAAGTCATTCTTCCGCTCTACTCTGTGCTGATTAGGCCTCAGTTGGAGTATTGTGTCCAGTTCTGGGCACCACATTTTAAGAAAGATGTGGAGAAATTAGAGAACGTCCAAAGAAGAGCAACAAAAATGAGTAAAGGTCTAGAAAACATGAGCTGTGAGGGAAGACTGAAAGAACTGGGTTTGTTTAGTTTAGAAAAGAGATGACGGAGAGGGGACATGACAGCTGCTTTCAAGTATCTAAAAGGGCGTTACAAGGAAGAGGAAGAAAAATTGTTCTCCTTGGCCTCTGTCAAGGTAGTTATACTGTCAGGGTGGTTAAACACTGGAATAAATTGCCTAGGGAGGTTGTGGAATCTCCATCACTGAAGATAGTTAAGAGCAGGTTGGATAGACATCTATCAGAGATGATCTAGATAGTTCTTGGTCCTACTGTGAGGGCAGGGGACTGGACTTGATGAACTTAAGGAACAATCAGTTTCACACATACAGAATGGGAAGTGACTGTCTAGGAAGGAGTACGGCAAAAAGGAATCTACGGGTTATAGTGGACCACAAGCTGAATATGAGTCAGCAGTGTGGTGGTGATGCAAAAAAAGCAAACATGATTCTGGGATGCATTAACAGGTGTGTTGTGAGTAAGACGCGAGAGGTCATTCTTCCGCTTTACTCTGTGCTGGTTAGGCCTCAGGTGGAGTATTGTGTCTTGCACCACCTTTCACTGCATTTGAAATTCTGGGCACTGCATCTCAAGAAGGGTGTGGAGAAATTGGAGAGGATCCAGAGAAGAGCAACAAGAATGATTAAAGGTCTAGAGAACATGACCTATGAAGGAAGGCTGAAAGAATTGGGTTTCTTTAGAAAAGAGAAGGTTGAGCGGGGACATGATAGCAGTTTTCAGGTATCTAAAAGGGTGTCATAAGGAGGAGGGAGAAAACTTGTTTATCTTGGCCTCTGAGGATAGAACAAGAAGCAATGGGCTTAAACTGCAGCAAGGGAGCTTTAAGTTGGACATTAGGAAAAAGTTCCTAACTGTCAGGGTGGTCAAACACTGGAATAAATTGCCCAGGGAGGTTGTGGAATCTCCATCTCTGGAGATATTTAAGAGTAGGTTAGATAAATGTCTATCGTGGATGGTCTAGACAGTATTTGGTCCTGCCATGGGGGTAGGAGACTGGACTCGATGACCTCTCGAGGTCCCTTCCAGTCCTAATATTCTATGATTCTAACTCTTGAGGGCCTTTCCAGTTCTAGTATTTAGTTTCAGGGGTAGCCAAGTTAGTCTGTACAGGATAAACATAAAAAAACCCTAGTTTTTTGCTACAAGACTATTTGTTGTTTTTTAAGTTTATCCTAGTATTTAGTGTTATTTATCTAGTGTTTAACCACTGTGAAAGTTAGAAGTTTTTCCTAATGTCCAACCTAAAACTAAGTGGAGTACTTTGTATTTGTCCTTATTAAATTTGATACTGTTTAGCTCAGGCCGTTTCTCTAGTTTGTCTAGACCATTTTGAATTATGATCCTATTCTCCAAAGCACTTACAACCTCTCCCAGCTTTTGGGAGTGCAGAGTGAAGTGCGTGATCCCTATCTGAGGTCCTTTCAGTCAGGAGTTCTGGAGAGACAGCTTCCCCCACAGCCCTAATAATTAGCCATTTTCAAAAAGTTTTTGTGTGGGTGTTTTTGTTTTTTGGTTTTTTTTTTGGCTCTGTATTAGAAGTCAAACAATTGTTCTGAAGAGGAACAAAATGGTCTGTCTATCACATGTTACCCCAGGTAGTGCACGGCACCTGTTAAATCCTGAGGGGATCCCAGTTGCCCAGTTGTGAATGGTATTTAAGAATAGGCACATCTGTTTGCAGTTCTCCAGGCACCAGTAAAGGGAGAAAAGTGAGAAGTTTTCTGTGGAGCTGCTTTATTTGCCTGGATAGGTCAAGGGGAAAGGCGGGGGGGGGGAGGAGGATTTGTTTTATTAGCCCCTGTGGGAGGGTGGCAAATGTCTGCTTTCAGCTTTTGGGGTGGATTACTATAGTGTTTCCAAAGATAGAGTATCTGTAATCCTCCTACAGGGGAGCAGTTCAGCTCAGAGCCAATCTTGAAGAGAACTGTATGTACCATTTTGGAGCTGGATTGTACATTTGAATGCATGTTTACTTAATACTGCAAATTACAATTGGATCTTGCTCTTCACTGAGTTTAAATGTAAATCCATTCAAGCAGTAGTCTTCAAAAGTAGTCCTCTGGCATGACTTAAAAAATCAATTTACTGTTCCAGTACATTTTGTAAACGTGCTTCAAGCAGCTATACACGCAGAAATGGAGGGATAGACTTGTCTCATTTTGCATGCACTCAAGTTAACATTACAGATTGAATACATGCACAAGTGACAGAAATCAGTGTGTGCACCTAAAGGGTGTGCCATGCCGCAAGTTAAACACTCATAGTCGTTATTTCCTTCTTTTCAGAATGCAACAGAACAGCCGGAGCCTGAGCTGAGCACTTCAGAGGACAACTGCAATACAGGAACAGAGTTGAAGGGTTATCCGGCTGCTGCAGCTCCCCCCTCAGAAGAAATGCCAACAGAAGAAAGCACGTCTGCATTAGTTAACTTTGATGCTAAGCAACTCTCAGCCCCAACATGCCACAAGGAAAGCCAGTGCGACAGTGGTAATGATACATCTGATGATTTGTTGAGCCTAACGAGTACAAAGAACCCAGGGTTTTCCTGTGAACGTCAAAATAGTGCTATGTTGAGAAAGAAGGAAGAGGAGGGGCCAGCGGCTATTGTAGACTCTGGGACTGTATCAGATAAAAAGGACGGCAGACTGAGCTCCAATGCTGTAGTAAATGGTGCTGCTAGCCTCTCATGCTGTGGAAATACAAGTGAGGAAACTGGAATGACATCCACTGGAGTTATTTTGAATCAAGCAAGCCTGTGCTGCAGAGATAATACTCAACAGGAAGTGCGAATAATTGAAGAGCACACAACTCAAAGTACTGTTGCAGCGGCTGAAACTGCAGGCAAAGCCCCAACACCCTGGGAGGGGGTGGATGTGGCTATGGGCCAGACAGAATGCAAGAACTGTACAGGGATGGTGGATGCTTCTTCAGTCCAGCAGCATGAGGAGAATGGAGGGGATGAGACAAGGGGCTCCAAAACCACATGTCTGAAAGAACCTCCCCCAGTAAGTGGGAAGCTGATCCATGCAGTTGTGCCCTTGCTTGGAGATTTTGGTGACACTGTTTGTGATGGTGAAGAATGTGAGGGTGCACAAGGGATACAGGCGCAGGATAGTGTAAGTACACATGTTAACAGTGATGCTGTTCCTGTTGGCTGTGGGGCGACAAGTGACAGCAAACGGAATGGAGCAGACTCAAACAGTGAAATTTCGAAGATGAGTTTGTCAAAAGATTTGGTCCAAGAAGAACCCATTGTAAAGGAGAGGCAGAATGTGATTGCCAACACTGAAGAGGAGCTGCTGGTGACTCAAATAAAAGTTTCAGAGAATGCACTGAAACAGGATCCTGTTGGTTTGGAGGTGAATAACAATAGTAAGAGTGGCAAGCTGGGAGTGGAAAATGTAAATGGAGACATTGGACTGAATGAACTGGGTTTGAGCGACAATATGCCCAATGACTCTAATGCTGAAATGAAAAACAAGCCCCTGGACAGGCCTGGTCCGAGTGATGTGGAATCTATGAGTTGCCCTGAAAGCAGTAAGACTGTTGCACTTAGCGTTGAAAGTGAAGGTGACAGCCAAGCCCTTAAAAGAATGCCACAGGAAACTGAAACTATGGATGGAGGAAGCATTGATTCTGCAGAGGGAGGCCTGGGGTCTGCTGGCAATTGCCACGCTGAGAACAAAGCTGTTTTAAAAGGTGAGGAAATGTGTGACAGCTTAAAGCCAGACACTGCTTCAGCTAGCAAATGTGAGTCTGGGCCACACCTTCCACTTGATAAAGACTTGTCCTCAGCAGAAAAAGTGCCTCTACAAAACCAATTAGTGATATCAGAAAGCATTTCAGAGCAGGAGGGGGTTGACAAGCAAATAAAATCATTCTCGTCTTCCTTGTTTAAAGGAAATGTACAACAAGAAGAGGCAATCGGTCAGGAGAGAGATGCAGCAGTGGCACCTCCAGGACAAGTGGTGTCTGTGCATAGCAATGATCCTGTCTTCCCTTCATGTGCCATGGGCACAGAGTGTGTACAGGATAATTTAATGGACACACCCTCTGCAAATCATAATAAAGAACCTAAACAAAACCAGGAAGTAGCAGCTGCCACAGCCGCAGAAAGAGCAGTGCTTGCTGAACAGGACAATTCTGTGCATGGAAAGGTAACAGCAGAAACTAGTTTGCCTCTAGACAGTGAGGAAAAAGACGGGCAAAGTCCATCACAGACGGATGAAGAGAACAAAGCGGAATCCAGTCAGGAGCTGCGTGAAAGTGGGACACTTGGCAAGGAGAAGGGGTTGTCTGAGGAGCTTGCTGCTGTTGTGAAATCCTCTGTTTGCTCTCAGGGCGAGGAGACTGCAGTGAATGACAGTAATGCAGCTATTGGGCAGAAAGAGGAAATCTCCTGCCAGGAAGCAGATGACAATGCAGCAGTGGATGCAGAAGAAGGTATTGTACCAGGGTCTGAATCAGAGTACAAATTGCTGCACACAAAGAATGAGCCTTCTCCCAACGCAGTGTTGAACCAAGAGCATGATCTCAGTGAGGGCATAGAGGGAGACACCCTGCAAAGCAGAGCACTGGACTTAAAGGAGGTCTTTGCTATGGAAGCACCTTCTGTTCCCTTTGAGCCTCTAGGTGTAGCTGTGACATCCACTGTAACAGATGATCGAGAAAAGGAGGAGGAAGTGAACAATGTACTCTCCAGAGCATCGCTTCAGCCTATAGCAGAAGAACCCCCCTGTGACAGTGACTCCAGCACTGACACCATCTGTTTGATCAGTGAGAGAGAAGCTGGGTCTGAAGTGAAAGAAACCCAGCAAGAGGTCTTGGATTTGTCCAGCAAAGACCCAGAGGAGCAAAGCAATCCCATGCTGGAAGCATGTTTCTCACAGTCAGTTCTATGCAATATAAATGCTGCTACTGAGCCTTCAGAGGATGTGGAGGCAAAGAGCTTGATTCCAGAAGCTGATTGCTTGCAGCTGGATAATGTTGCCAACAGTCCTGTTGCATTTGTTTCTATGTTAGAAACGCCTTCTGTCCCTGAATCTGCAGTTGAGAAACTAGAGAGTGTACCTGTTGGGGTTCTGCCCACATCCTCTCCAGAAGCTGGAGTGGTTACGGGAGCCATCCTTAATGGAGAAATGGATTTAAGTTTGCAGTTTGAACTAATGAGGAACGGGGATGCAAGCCCAGAAGCACTAGGATCTGAGCCCATTACAGGTAAGCCAAATTGTGCATTTATTTTATACAGCACTATACATGTATATGGCATTCACAGGCAACTAAAGGAAGAAGCTCTCTGCCAGAAAGAGCTTCCAACTTAAATGAGATAATATTTCCTTCTATTGAAGAATGAAAATCAGTCCATAGTGGGTAGAGAAATGGTGTCAAAGGCCAGTCCTGGGAGGGGAATCCTGCCCTTGTCAAGTGCACATTCTTTTCCTGCAGACCAGAAATCTGAAATAGATATTAAAGGTTTACACTACAAGTCCATTTTTCTAGGGTTGCATCATGATTAGGAAACAGTCTCATATTGATGCCAAAGTATTTTAGAGGAATCTTTACCATGTAAATTATGTTCCCTAGTAGGAAAGAAAAGAGTTAAATGGGACGCTGAAATTTGCTGTATGTTTGAATGGCACGTTTCCTTCTGGGCCAGGTACTTTAGGGTTCATTTGTTTAGTGTTCACTTGACTCTTTCCTTCAATTCTGCCTCTGATTCTCAGTGAATCTAAAGTTAGTGAATATAACAGTGATGCACTAAAGTTTCCTTTCTGGTGAGCTGGAACAGCTGTGAGTGTCCTTCTGAACTGGGCAAAGACACTTCCTAATTGGTGGTATTGAGTCATTTTAAAAGGAGGGAGACAAAATACATCCCTCCACCCACTTTTCCTGAGTGTGAATCTGTCCTGGAGCCAAGCTGCAGTCTTTTCTAGTGTATTTGAGCCATGCTGGAATTTATATGCTCATTACTTGTTCAGTACAACAAGCAAGAACGAAGTATCGATGAGGATAAGTGATGTCATAGGAGATAAGTGACTACATCAGGAGAGCTTTGGCAGAGTCAGTCTGTATGCAGCAAGAACTAAGGGGAATCGTAAGAAGGTAACAACAACAACAAACAAACAACCCTTCCTCTGATAAATACAAGAAAAAATAACTGACTTTCGGAGTCTGCCAGTCTGGAGTGAAATCACAGGTGAAATGTCCACTGACGCGCAAACTAGTTTGATTCAGGCTTTTATACTCCACCTGTTCAGGGAGTTGTTAACTGTACACAGCTGACCTATCTCTGTGTCACATTTAGTTATGTCTTGCTATAGATTCTTTATATCTTTCCTCTGACTCAAAATGAAAAGATAGTTTGGAATTCTTTAGAAAATACTCAAAATAGATGTCCACCAGCCACAGCAGTTTAGAGGCTAGAGCTGTGAACTCACAGAAATAGGTGACTGCTTTTTACTGCTCAAAGAGAAGAGATTTTTGTCAGAGTTGTGGAAGGTGATTTACTTAAGCATTAACTGGCAGCACAGTGGTGAGTGCCTATTCTTTGGGAAATGGTGGCTATTTTGTAAGTTTTGGTGATCTGGAGATTTTAAAGAGGTTTATTAGTCATGGAAAGTTATCAGCCGCTATGTAATAGGTTGTTTACATGAATCAGAAAGCCCCCTTTAAAAAGAAACATCTATTTTTGTATAATGGCAAGTTGATATTTCAATAGAATGGGAGTGGCTGTAAGTCGATACCTGGGAGTGCTAATTTCTTCTGGGAGCTCCTTGTTTTTTTTTTGTCTGCTGCTGTCTAAATCTCAGTAGCCAAGGTTTAATTCTACACCTGCTGCTGGAAACACAGGCTTTTCATGCAAGATGATATATGAAAATTGAAGAGACAAGGAATTACAGTGCAGTAAATTAGAGCCAATAATGGAAAATGCAACTTGTGTTTTATAAAAAACATTAAAACCTCATACTAACCTAGAATAGGGGAAAGAAAACTGGGAGGTGATTGTTACAGATTTAAAAAATGTACAAAGCACGTTCATAACATACAAGAAGAACCCAGCATCTGTTGATCTCTTCTACCCATAACAGAGACCGTGATCACAAACTGAAGCTGCACAAAGCACAAATTAGGGAAAAATGGCTTCTCCTGGGGATTACTGGAAAAATCTACCGAATATTGCCATGTGGGCACAGACAAAATGTGAATTTAAAGCAAAGACAGGGAGATCTGTTGTTTTTCTATTAGTTTTATAGTGCTCTGTGTGTGCAGCAAAAGAGAAGATACAGCATTTAAACTTTGTATGGTGACTGCCCTACCTGGATAACTAGTCTTTTCAGAGAAGCAAACTAATAAGTATTTTGAGGTTTTTCAAACCCTATTACAAGTTCACTGTGTTCTGAGTCAGAACTTGTCTTGGCAGGTAAGAACATGTATATATTTATTTTGTGGTTGAAGATGTAACTGCTGCTCAGAAGAACCCAAATCCTTTTTTGACAGACTTGGGGCGGCAGCCCTTCTTAGAAGAGAGGTCAGGTGGGTGCTTTATAGAAATACACAACACTGGGAATTTTTATATTGCCGTTGCTAAATTGTCACCGTTTGTGATATGCAATCAAAGGAAAGTCTTTATCCAAATAAATATCCATGGCCTTGTCCCAAAATGCAGTGAAGTCAAGGGGAGACTCTCATGACTCTTTTGTAGAAAGCCTTACAGACCTCATGCAATACTTAGAGTATGGCCTTTTTTATTCAGCACTGAATTACACCTGTGAGATGGGATTTTCCATGCAAATCAATTGTGCATATTGGGCCTGGCTCACATTTGGGTTAGTAAGCACCCAACACATAGTAAGACACTGGATTTCTATGGTAACTAAATCACAAAAAGTATGCCTTGTTCTCTAGAGATTCTCCCTGAACAAATGCCATAATGGATCTCCATGCAGGCCTTGACATTTAGGTAAATGTTAATTGGTTGGTATATGCTTAATTTCCATGAGTAAAATTTTACCTTTTCTAACCTCCAGTTCCTAACCTCATCCTCACCAAAGGGACATCCCACTGTAGCTGTCCACAAAGGTTTCACCTAGCATTTATTGAAGCAGCTATTGTGGCTGGTTCCACTGGAGACAAGCTTTAATAATATTACATAAGTTACTCCTTGTGATGTATTTCAACACCCGTTTGTGGGTTTGGGATACTCATTTTTAGTAGCAGTGTTTGTGTTCCAGAGGTAATGTGCACACAACATGGCTCTTTTGAATCACATGCTGGACCAGTCCACGTGATGATGTGAAAGCTCACAAAGAACAAAACACTGAAGTCAGATTTGGCTGAGTTAAATCCTTACATGTAAACAGAGCTCAGCCAATGATTTGAAAAGACAGACTCTTGAAATTGTATGTCTAGCCAATCGTGTAAGTTAACAACACAAATAAGACCCTGTTCTTGCTCACATCGAAATCAATGGGCATTCAATTGTTGACTTTAATGGACGTAGAATTAGGTGTGCCCTTTGCCCTCACTTCAGAATCTGAAAACACTCTACAGACATGAATGAATTTATCTTGACAGCACACTGTGAAGGAGGGAAGAATCCTCATCATCCCTGTTTCTCAGATGGGGAAGCTGAGGCACGGTCCATTTAGGTGACTTGTCCAAGTCCAAGGAGGACATTTGTGGCAGAGTCAGGAAGAGAGTCCTCGTGCCTGGTGCTATAGTTTAGCAACAAAATATTCTGTCCACCCGTATACTTAAGGGGAACCTTCACGAGAGCAAGCCTGTCTGCTCCCCCTACACAAACATAGTTCCTTGTGGGTACATGCAGCCAGGCACCCTGTGGTGGCTCTTCTTTCCCCTCTGTGCACTAGGGAGGTTAGAATGCATATGCAGGCATTAATTAAGGATGTTAAATTGCGTTTAATCAGCTAATTAAGCAGTTGCTGGAATTTCCATTAATTTCTCAATTCGTTGATGAAGAGGGAGACTGCAGCACCACATCAGAGTTAGCTCCCAGCTCCGGGAGCTAATCCTGCTGAGGCTCTGCCACTTGGCTCTTACTACATTTAAAAGGCAGAGGCACAGCGGGGGACCAGGCATGAGGCAGAACAGCTGAGTCCCAGTTCACACCCGGTCCCCCTCTGCACCTCTGCTTCCCCTGCCCCCAACGGAGACAGTGCTGGGGGGAACTGGCTTTTAAGGCAGCTTCCCCCAGCACTGGCTCCTGCTCCCTGCCTTGCTGCCTCCGATAG